GGTGCCACCTCGGGCTGGAAGGGGACAGCAGCAGCCACGAGCACAAGCCAAGGGTGGATTTTGGCGACAGCCAGGATAAGAGCCGGCAAAATCCTGGTTGGCAGGACACATCCTGAAGTAGGGAAAGAGCGGCCACAAAGCTCTGAAGGGAGGGAAAGGAGCCTTGGAGCCTCTGGCTGCTCCAAAGGGACCCGGGCTTGGGTTTCACGGTCACATTTTCCAGCCAAAGCTCTGCTCATTCCCGCAGTCCTCACTCGCCTTTGGATGTCATCGCTGGAAGCAACATCCTGTTCTGCAGCACTCCCACCACGGCCAGGGCTCCATCAGGGCTCTATTTATGGGGAAGAGAGGAAGGAGACAGAAGCCAATTACTTCACTAATTGCCTAATTACCCTAAGCGCTCCCAGCCCGCCCCGTCTCCACTCTGGAGCAGCTGCAGCTGCGGCTCCCACCAGCAGCTTGTCCTGGCACATCTCATCCAAAGCTCTTCTCCCAGCAGCCAGGGCCAGAACTTCCCTAGATGATGATGGTTTAAAGAGCTCAGAGCGGTCCCAGCTCCCAGAAAACTCCAGGATTTGCTGAGGAGGTGGAGTCGGTCCCTCAGGAACCCAAATGAGAGGTGGTGGGAGGGTGAGGACACCCCTGGCTGCTCCCACCCTGCCTGCTGCTCACCACCGGGTCATTCCCACCTTGGGAATTGTGCCTCTGGAAGTGTCTCCTGCCTTGGGGATCGTGTCCTGCCCACCCGCCCAGGCACCCCGCAGCTGGGTGTCGGTTCTTCCACCCGCGGTGGTCTCCTGTGGCAATTCCATAGGGAGCAATTCCTGGAGAAAACGGCAGCAAGGACCAGGACACACACACAACTTGAATATTTGCCTTCCCTTTCCTCCTTTCTCTTCCTGGGAAGAGAAAAAAAGCTCTGAGCAGAAACGGGCTATCCTGGAAAAACCTCAGGATTGGGACCTCAGAGCTGTGGCACCTTGCTCAGGTCCATGTCCAATCTTCAGGGATGGAGTCTCCAAACCAATCCCACTTAATTCAACACTTGACCATAAAAATTTTATTTTATTTTATTTTATTTTAGTCAGTCTTAAAGGTGCAGAACTTAATATATAACATAAACCAGGCGATTGGGGATACCAGTATCATAAAGTCACCCCAGGACCATTTTATTTTATTTTATTTTATTTTATTTTATTTTATTTTATTTTATTTTATTTTATTTTATTTTATTTTATTTTATTTTATTTTATTTTATTTTATTTTATTTTATTTTATTTTATTTTTTCCTGTATTTGGTTCTATATCAGCCAGGGTTCACCTTGGTCTGGGTCCTCAGGACCATGTCCAGTCTCCAGAGATGGATACTCCAAATCTTGGGACATCTTGATCCAACACTTGACCATCCTCCCCACAGAAATATTTAATATTATGTTTTTTATTGCATTTTGAAGTGGAATTTCCTGTACTGGGGTCACTTCCAGTTGGGATTCCCTTTGGACAGGTGGCTAAGCACCATGTCCAGTCTCCAGGGACAGAGATTCCCAGTCTCTGGGTATCTTGATTCATCAACTTGACCATTGTCCCCATCATTTATTTTACTTTTAATAAAATTAAAAATAATTTTTATTATTTCTTCTATAATAGAAGAAAATTTGGGTCCATATCAACCATTTGGCCACAGAGCTGGATGCCAAAATCCCACTGGATGCCCAAATTCCTGGGATGGTTCTCCCCAAAACCCCAAGCCCGGAGGCCACGAGGCCTTCAAGGGAAGCTGGAATACGAGACCCAAACTTGGGAGTTCCAACCCTTTATATTCCCAAATTCTAGAAAGAAGCCACAGGGATGGGTTGTTGGGTTTTTTTTGTTGTTTGTTTGTTTTTATTTTGGGATCACAAAATACACAACATTCATTTTAATATGGGACACAGAATATTCTGTACATATTAAAACCCACGTGACTGCAACACAACCTCACACGGCACCAATTCCCGAACGGAAAAACCCCACAAGTGCTTTTTTCTTTTTTTTTTTTTTAATATTAAAAACAAATAGGATAAAACATTAATATTTTTTTCCCAGACGACGTTTACAATAAAGAGGAAAAAAAATCATATTTTTACTAAATAACAAATATTTAACAGCACAACTTTATCCTAAATATCTATTTTTGAATTATAACAAAAATAGCACTTATAATAGTTTATAAAGACAGACCAAAAAAAAAAAAAAAATTTGTGTATAAAATAATATTATAGCAAATTGGACTGTGCTAATTAAAAAAAAAAAACAAAATAAATCTGAGATTCAAAGTGCTTTATTCTGCAAACCCACTGCAGCAACTTTATTTTTTTAGTCAAGTTATATTAGTTAGGACTGGAACAACAAAGCCTGGCTTACTTCAGCCTGGATTAAATACTCCCCCACACAAACACTGTATATCCACGGGATGTAAATGGAATTTCGGGGATGGCTTCAGCTCCCATTCCCATCAAAACTCACTCCAGAGCAGGTTTGGTTCTCACTTTGGAACAACATTGGAAGTTAAAATGAAAATGTCAGGGAAAAACCCTTCCCTGATTCCCCATCCCAGATGGAAATGGGGGCTCCTGGAGAGTTCTCACCCCACAGCTCACCCACCTTCCATCCCCATTCCCAAATCCTACAAAAACCACGGACACCTCTCTGTCCCCGAATGTTGGTCCCTGGGAGATTCCCCCTTCCAGCCACATCCAGGTTTGTGTTCGCCCTTTGGGATTTGCATTTCCAAGCTCCTTTTATCACTGGGAACTATTTCTCTCCATCAGGGACAAGGAAACACCTGCAATCCCAACAGGGCCACAGCTAGCCGCGTTCCATGTAAAAATTCCAGGCTGGGAAACTCTGAGCCTCTGCTCCAGGGCTCCTGAGACCTTCCTTTGGGGTTTGGCACGTTGGTCACCACCCAGAAACAAGGCTGGGATTGGAATGGGAATTGGGAATCCCAGAAGAGCGGGAGTTTTATTCCAGCTTGCGTCAAGCTGTGCACCCCAGTGGGAGGGACCGCCATCCCCTGGGATGCTCCAGGGGGGATTTTTGGCAGCTTGGCTGACGGCATTCCAACCTCAAGTGCTTCCCTTGGCTCCAAACCTGCCTCCCTCCTCCTTGCCCCCGCCAGCGCCGCGCCGGCCAAGGCGGCCTCGCCTCCGCTCGCTTCACACTTCCTGCGACCTTCCCAAGAGGCGCCTCTTGCCAAAGAGGCAAAAGCACAACCTGCAAAGCCACCTGGTGAGCCACACCTGCCCCTTCTCCTTCCCTATTCCAAGCCCTCGGACTTCTCTGGACCCCTTCGGAGCTGAAAGCCAAGCTGCGCCCCTGGGCGCCAGATCAGTTCCCATCGCCGCTCTCGGCGTTGTCCATTCCACCTCGGAGGGTTGGGATGGGACAGGAGCGGGGCTGGATGGGCTGGAAGAGCTGTCCTGAGCCACGGAGGGATCTCCCAAGCTGGTGTTCAGCTCTGGTTTGAACCCAACACCTGCCCAGCTGCTCTGGAGGCTTTTGCTCCACACCCTCCCAGCACAACCCCAAAATCTCCAACTCAACCCAGAAGCCTCTTGCATGCAAAAAACCAAAATAAAATAACCCCACCCCTCTTACAGCAAACGGAAGGCAAGATACCTCTTGGTGGCTGCTGGCTCGTGCTGGAGAGGCTCTGGAATTCTTCTGGGATGCGGGCTGGAAGCTGACACGGAGCCCTCTCCTTCCTGCTGAGCTCTCCCGTTGCCAAAAAACCCCAAACATGAGACAAACAAACGCGCGCGTTAATTCGAGAGATCACCTTTAATGCGAATGCCTCTGGCAGGAGCTGCCCCGGTGCCCCCGGAGCCATGCTGGGGCTCGGGGGCTGGTGCCAGCACCTTGAGGGGACAGCAAAGGCACCAAAATGTCCCCAAAGCCTTTGGGGTGCCTTTGCCCGGGGCTGGGTGGAGGGGGGTGCTCACAGGCCGTGTAGCAGCAGCAGGAAACTCAACGAGAGAAAAAAAAAAGGGGGCATCCCCCTCTCCCCAGAGCCCCAAAACATCTTGTAAAATGCAAATCTGCCTCTCCTGAGGCCTCAGGGATCACAAGACACCACAGGAGGGGTTTTTTGGGAAGCAAAATGACCCCTCCTCCTCTCCAGCCTGCCCCGGCACCAGCGGGAGAGGGGCTGGGAATGGGCAGCCTTGTCTCCCCCCGGCCAAGGAAAGGCTCCAACGCTCCAGAACAAACAACACAACCAAACAAATGAAAAAAAAAAACAAAACCAAAAAAAATACCACCTCAAAAAACATAAAAACACTGTTATCACCAGCTAATTTAACACTGTTAAAAAAAAAAGGTCAGAGGTCACCCCAGAGCTGCCCCGGGACACCAGACCTCAGATCCTCGGCTGATTCCCAAGCCTTTCCCGCAGTCGGGCCTTCTCCTCCTGGCAGCAGAAGTGTTTTATAGATATTTATATATATATATTTATAATATTTAGATACTGTGTATGGTCAGCCATCCCAGCTCAACTCGGCTTTTGTGGATCTTCCTCCTTCCCAACAAAACAAGACGAGGCCGCCCCGACCTTCTCCGTGTCCCGCGGGAAGAGCAAAACGCTTTCGGCAGCTTCCCTGCTGGAAAAGCAGTCCCGATGCGGAGGTGAGCGCCGTGGAGAAGCTCCTCATCCCTCTCTCCTCCCCTCCTGTCCATCCCCTCGCCCCCA